AAATGTGAAATTGGAAGGTTATGGGTATAAACGGTGATATTGGATATGTATTATCTCACCTATGTAAGTTTTGAATAAACTATTTATTTTGAGATTGAACATCTCTTTAGAAATAATTGTATTGGGCTATCAGTGGAGGATAGCTATGATTGTTGTAGAAATTGCATGAGGATTAGGCGATTTAATGCTAATCCATTGTTGGTGTCATTGAATATGACCATGTTATAAATACATTGCATATGTATGTTTATTGGGAGGAGAAAGGGGATATACTCCATATGTGATTATGTTTATAAATACATTGCATATGTATATTTGTTTGGGAGAAGAAAGGGGATAGACTCCATTTAAAGCAAGTTGGCCAGAATGTCCTGGGTGAAAGACCCGAAATTTCATATATAAATGGGTGTTGGTTCCTTCGGACGAAATATCTGTAAAATGGTAGATTCGAAGTGTTTATGTGTGTTTTTCATAATTGGAAACCATTAAGTTGTAGTCTCATTTTGGTTATTGAAAGATAATGAATCTAACTCATGAATTGAGTAGCATATATGAACTTGAAATGAATTGAAGAAAAATGGAAATGAGGTTTGGTCTTAGTGGCATATGAATATGCAGACCTTGTGGATGTTTTAGTATCGATATTGTTTATGCACGTAGTACTTATAACTTCGTTAAATCTCGTATATTGTGTTAAATTATCTCTGCTGGGCTGTTGGCTCACCCTATACGAGAATATCATTTTCAGGTGCAGGTGAACTGTTTCCTCTAAGGCAATAGCATGGATGGACTTTCGGAAGCAAGAGTTTCTTAATTATGCCTTATGTGTGTGTGTTTGTTATTTGTAAAGCCAAGGGCTTAAGATGTAATAACCGAGACTCAATTTGTGTAACCAAGCAATGACTTGAAAAGATGTAAACCTACATGGCATTTAACTGGTTGTTAAACAGGAAATTCTGATGTATGAAAGTATGTTGTCTCTCATATATATTCCGTATTATGAGTTATCATTATTGTATTATTTTGGGGGCGTTATAATCCCCTTAATTATATGTTATTCTGTACAAAGGCCTTTGGTAATCTAAGAATTACAGGCTGGTTATGACGCTAAACCTGTAGGGACGGGTTTGGGTCGTGACAGAGTGGTATCAGAGCACATGTTCTACCGCACACATGAGTCCATATGAGCTATATGATGTCCTAGTAAGAATTAGGGACATTGCACTTGCATGACTTTGAAATGAACTGAACACTGTGAAAAGAATTATTTGCTTATGTTTATTAGTGCTCTGTTCACCTAGAACAAATGGAAAATACAAGATGTGATGGTACAGATGAATCTTCTAAGACTTGGATGAATTGAATGGAACGAATGCTTGAAGCTTTGATAGATGCAATAATGCAACAACAAAGGCAACAACCTTTGCCTCCTTCACCCCCTCCGGTCCAAGCAGAACTGGTAAACAAGTATATCATCAACTTGACTCAAAAATTCAATAAGATGAAGCCACCGACTTTCTTTGGTGGAATTGAACCTTTAAAGGCTGAAACATGGATGCTAGAAATTGAAAAACTATTTGAAGTCTTTCCATGTACAGAGACTCAAAACGTTTTGTTGGCCACTTACATGCTGAAGGACGAAGCCCAACGTTGGTGGATACTTATCCGAGATAACAATGGAACTTTAACTTGGGACCAATTCAGAGAGATTTTCAATGAAAAATACTTCCCACAATGTTTCCAAGATCGAAAAGTGTCCGAATTCCAAGAACTCAAGCAAGGCAATATGTCAATAGTAGAGTATGAAGCCAAGTTTACCAAATTGGCCCTAGAAATTGAAAAACTATTTGATGTCTTTCCACGTACAGAGACTCAAAACGTTTTGTTGGCCACTTACATGCTGAAGGACGAAGCCCAACGTTGGTGGATACTTATCCGAGATAACAATGGAACTTTAACTTGGGACCAATTCAGAGAGATTTTCAATGAAAAATACTTCCCACAATGTTTCCAAGATCGAAAAGTGTCTGAATTCCAAGAACTCAAGCAAGGCAGTATGTCAATAGCAGAGTATGAAGCCAAGTTTACCAAATTGGCCCTGTTTGCTCCACACATGGTGGATACAGATTACAAAAAGGCTAGAAAATTTGAAGGAGGCTTGGCTTTAGACGTGTTTGATCGGGTCGGTGTATTAAAATTGCCCAAATATGTGGATGTGCTTGATAGAGCTCTAATTGTGGAAGCTAATTTGGCCGCATTGAAACAAGTGAAAGCTCTAACAACTGAATAGAAAGGCAAAAGTCCAGATTTAATTTCAAAAAGGGTCATTCATTTCCTATGACTATGAAACAAAATACGGGATCTACTAGCAATTCAAGTCAAAATAGTTGATCTATACTAGTTTGTGCATATTATGGAAGAAAACATAGAGGTGTGTGTCATCGTGTATCTAGTGCTTGCTTTCGGTGTGGCAAGACAGGCTACATGGTAAGAGATTGTCCAATTGGGTCTGAAAATGCCAACCGCCCTATAGCAGGCTCAGCAGGATCTGCTTCTGTACCAAGAACAAATGTAAGAACTAATGATGGGAGAGAACCTTTGAGGCAAGGTTGAGTATTTACACTTGTGCTTGGGAATGTACAGAACACTGAATCCATGGTGTCAGGTATACTCCCTATTTGTGCCCAAAATGCATATGTTTTGATAGATTGTGGATCTACACACTTGTTTATGTCGCATGCTTTTTCATGAAAATTGACTAGACCTCTAGATTCCATGAATTATTTGTTATCTGTGTCTACACCTTCTGGGGGTTCTATGATGTGTGCATATGTATATCCTGAGTGTGACATTATGATTGGTGATGTACTATTATATGTTGACTTGATGCCTGTGGCTATTGATCATTTTGACTATATATTGGGAATGGATTGGTTGACCAAGTATTATGCCACCATTGATTGTGTGAATAAATCTGTTGTGTTCCGACCACCTAGGTCGTCTGAGTTTGTGTTTTGTGGAAGCAGTGTCATTCCTCTCCCGTATTTGATATCCACTATGAAGGCTAATAAACTGTTAAGAAAGGGTTGCCGGGGTTGTTTTTGTTGCGTATTGGCTATGTCTACCGATAGTGTGAATATAGAAAATATCCCTGTAGTGAATGAATTTCCTGATGCTTTCCCAAATGAACTGCCCAGGAATCTAATAGATAAAGAAATTGAATTCACCATTGATGTATTGCCTGGGACACAACCAATTTCTAAAACCCCTTACAGAATGTCAACCTCCGAATTAAAAGAACTAAAAGTCCAACTTCAAAAATTGTTCGATAAGAAGTTTATCCGATCCAGCACTTCACCTTGGGGTGCACCCGTTTTATTTGTCAAAAAGAAAGATGGGTCCTTGAGGCTATATATTGACTACCGTAAATTGAACAAAGTGACAATTAAGAACAAATATCCACTACCCTGAATAGATGATTTGTTTAACCAACTCCAAGGAGCCTAAGTCTTTTCAAAAATTGACCTTAGATCCGGATAGCACCAATTGAAGGTTAAGGAAGAAGACATAGAGAAAACCGCATTTTGGACTAGATATGGGCACTATGAGTTTTTGATAATGCCATTTGGGGTAACTGATGCACCTGCAGCATTTATGGACTTAATGAATGGGGTGTTCAAACAATTTCTTAATGAGTTTGTAGTTGTTTTTATTGATGATATTTTGATTTACTCCAAAAGCAGGGAAGATCATGAAAACTATTTAAGAATTGTGTTATAGATTCTGAGGGAAAAGAAATTGTATGCAAAACTCTCCAAATGTGAATTCTAGCTTGATTGTGTGAGATTTTTGGGGCATGTGATCAACAAGGATGACATATCAGTAGACTCGCAGAAAATTGAAGCTATTGTAAATTGGCCAAGACCAATGAATGTGTTTGAAATTAGAAATTTTCTGGGGCTTGCTAGCTATTACAGAAGATTTGTAAAAGACTTCTCCAAACTTGCTATGCCATTGACACAGTTAACACAGAAAAATATATCATTTGATCGGAACGATCAACGAGAATCAGCCTTTCAAGAGTTAAAAACCAGATTAGCAACTGCACTAATTTTGACTTTGCCCAATGGTTTTGATGGGTTCCAAATTTACAGTTACGCTTCATACAAAGGCTTGGGATGTGTGCTAATGCAAAACAAAAAGTTAATCTCCTATTCATCTCGGTAACTCTGCCCCTATGAAAAGAACTACCCAACTCATGACCTTGAACTAGCAGTTGTAGTGTTTGCTTTGAAAATTTGGAGACACTATTTGTATGGTGTGACTTGCGAAGTGTACAATGATCATAAAAGCCTCAAAGATTTCTTTACTCAAAAGGAATTGAACATAAGACAGAGACAATGGTTTGAGTTAATAAAAGACTATAACTTGCAAATTCTATATCATTCGAGAAAGGCAAATATCGTTGCAGATGCATTGAGTAGAAAGTCAATTGGGAATTTATCATGTTTGCTCGCCAGTCAGAAAGAGTTGTTATGTGACTTGGAAATGAATGAGATTGAAATTTTGTTGCGCGAACAGGGTGGAATTCTAGCCGCCATCTCTGCCCAGCCTCTAATTATCGAAGAAATTAGAGAGAACCAATTGCAAGATCAATTCTCGAAGAGGATTGTTTATGAGATTGACACAAAACCAAGACTAGGGTTTATAATTGAGAAGAATGTGTTGAAGTTTCATAATAGGTTTTGTGTACCAGATTGTTCAAAATTAAGAAAGCATGTATAACCGAGGCTCACAGTTCAAAATTTCCCATGCATCCCTGAAACACAAAAATGTACAAAGATTTGTAATAGAACTTTTGATGGCCTGGAATGAAGAGATGTATTGCTGATTTTGTGGCTAAATGTTTACATTACCAGCAAGTAAAGGCTGAACATCAACGACTCGCTAGACTACTTCAACCGCTTCCAATACCAGAATGGAAATGAGAGCATATCACGATGGACTTCATTGTTGGATTACCTCGCTTCTCTCAAGGTATGGATTCTATTTGGGTCATAGTTGATCGTTTGACTACATTCGCTCATTTCTTACCTATTAAAACTTTTTATAATGCGGATAAATTAGCTATCATCTATGTAAATGAGATTGTGAGACTACACGGGGTGCCAGTATCCATTTTATCTTATAGGGATTTCAAATTCACTTCAAGATTTTGGCAAAGTTTGCAACAGGCTTTGGGAACTTAATTGAGGTTGAGTAGTGCTTATCACCCACAGACAGACAACCAATTTGAACGAACCATTCAAACCTTGGAAGATATGCTCAAAATGTGTGTGTTAAAATTCTAAGGAAATTTGAAGACTTACTTGGCTGAATTTGTGTACAACAACAATTATCATTCGAGTATCTGTATGGCTCCTTATGAAGCTTTGTATTGTAGGAAATGCCGTTCTCTGATCTGTTGGGCCGAAGTAGGTGATAGACCTTTGTTGGGATCGAAACTTGTACAAGAAATGACTAAAAATGTAAAATTGATTCAACAAAGATTGAAAACTGCACAAAGTCGCCAAAAAAGTTATGTGGATGTCCAAAGAAGAGACAGAGAATATGAAGTTGGGGATCATGTGTTTATCAAAGTAACTCTGATGGAAGGGCAAACACGATTTAGAGTGAAAGGAAAGTTGGCTCTGAGATATATTGGTCCGTATGAGATTCTAGAGAAAATCAATTCAGTAACATACCGAGTGGTCTGGCCTCCGATCGTAGAGCAAATGCATAATGCCTTTCATATTTCAATGCTCCAGGATTACTTGAGAGATCCTTTACACATGACTGAGCCAACACATGTGTTATTGAAAGATGATTTTACTTATGAAGAACGACCAATTCAGATTGTCAATCGAAGGATCAAAAGGCTAAGAAACAAAGATATTCCATTGGTGAAAGTTGATTGGCAAAACCACGGAGAAACATATGCAACTTAGGAAACTGAGGAAGATATGATGCAAAGATACCCTAATTTGTTCCCTCTAGATCCGACATTCTTCCAAACTGAAGGTAATTTGAGTTTGAGGGACCAAACTCTTTAAGAGGGGAAGACTGTAACAACCCTATCTGATATTAACTAATACTGCATGATTAAGAATGCCTAATGAGTAATTGAGATAAAATCTCGAGTTAATTACATGTGTTATATGATATTTGTGTTTATATCTGTCTGTCGTAGAAATATCTGTTTGTGTTTCTGTCCTGTTTTGTGAATTGAAGGCCTTATCGGCCACAAAATACAAATTTGACTGAGATTACCTGTTATTTAGGATTTTTAGAAAATTATGGTAGGATCAATTGAAATTCGATTCGAAACGAAAAAATTAGAGTAAAATAATCCTTATTAATTACCCTTAACTTAAATTAATTAATGCAACCAAATTAAGCCTAAATAAGGCACAATTGACTCAAGACCATTACATACACATCCACTTCATCATCTTTTAAGTCTCAAACGTGAGAGAGAGAGAGAGAGAGACCAAGAGAGAATTGAGACCAAGCTTTGGGAGGAAGAATTTCTTGGGAATTGAAGGTTTTGACTTGGAAACTCTAAAAATTGAATATCTAGAACACAATTAAGCATCTAAGGTAAGAATTCTAGCCTCTAGTTTTGTGATTTAGTTGGTTGGAACATTAATTCAAGGGAATTAAGCTATGAGATGCATGAAATGAACTAAGGATGTAAGGGAGAAGAACATTCATGCATGTATGTGCATATCATGAAGTTTTGATGTTGTTTTTACAAGAATTCTCACATGCATGTTCATATCTTGGTTTTGTTAAAAGAATTCAACATGTTTTTGAGCTTAATGACTCATTTGATCTTGTTTTGGAAGGTTGGAATTCATGACATTACATGCAACTTATGTTCTTTAAGTTTCAAGTTTTGTTTTGTACAATTGGCAATACTTTTGGGCTTGATTTTGCGAAATAGTTTGTAATTCATCTTGTACTATGAGTTTTTCAATGTTTTACTAAGTTTTGGCCCAAAATGATGTGTTTTGAAGGTTTAAAATTGGATTTTGAACTTAGAAATGCAATAGGGAAATTCCATAATTTTGCATCACTGCTCGAGCGACCAAAGCTGCACTTGAGCGACCACCCTTTGTCTTGCACCTTCGCTCAAGTGAACAAAGGTTGGCTCGAGTGTAAAATTCATGCTTCCAGTACTTTTGCAGAGTTTTATAGACAACTTGAGCGGCTAAAATTGTGCTCGAGCGGAGACCCTATTTTCTCAGTCTTTGGCTCGAGTGACTGTTAAGCATCCATTGAGTGGAAAAATCAAGCAACTAGTACTTTTACAAATCACATTTTGGCATCTTTATTGCATCTTAGGCATTCCTAAGCCTTAATTAAGACATAATAATGAGGATAAAGATTAGAAACACACCCAGACAATAAAGAAATAGATTAAATGATTTCCGAGCGTGTGTTTCATTGTGTATCCGTTTTGTGTTTGTGCGCTGTAGGCTATCTAGTTATTTGCTCTGTTTGTCTACTTTATTTGCTATGTCTGTCTGCTATTGAAGCCAACTGTGAGTAATAACTTTGTAAGGCTATGTTCACTTATAAGTATTTTCTAAATGATATAAGATGATCTTTTTTCTAAAATATTATTTTCTGTATGAATGAATGGTTATCCGATGTTTTTGAAATGTATTTATGGCATTCTTAGCTTCAGATGACATAGGTTATCTGTTTTGTTATGTCCCAATTATGGGCCAACTGTATGTCTCATGAGCCAACTGTTATAGATCCTTCTGTATACGTCCCATTTACAGGCCAACTGTACGTCTCATTAGCCAACTGTACCGCCTTCGTGCACGTGAGTCAATTGTATGCCTTTATGGCCATCCCTTTATGGGTCAATTGTTTCTATTAGTGTTAATGGATGTACCATGTCTGATTAATTGTAAATTCGTATTATGAATATGATTCTGATTCCATTTCTGTTATGAATACTGATTTCTGAACAAGAATATGAATCCACTTCTGATATAAGCTAAATTCTATTTTCTGTATCTATTATGGACAATATTCATTAAATTCTTTACTCTGTTATTATTCAGTAGGCTCCAGTTCATTCTATTATTTATGTATATAAGTGACCAGGCGCGTGACCAGGCTGAGAGATGATTGCCTGGATCTGTCTGAGTCAGCCAAACCACTATACCTTACGAAGAGGTTCCTGAAAAACTTAAGTGTAGTCAAATTCTATACTAATAGTTTTTATTTTTGTTCACTGCCTTTCTGTTTTCTTTTGTATCTAAATATTGGGCTAAGTCCTATTCTGTTTTGTCTATATATCAGGTGACGTAAGACTGTTGTTTATTTGACGTCACGTATATGTATATAAAGCTTTAAATTTTTCGTCTCATGCATGTCTGCACAGCTCTATGGACATTATTTTCTGGAAGTTGCTTTTGCTAGCCCCTTAATTATATGTTATTCTGTACAGAGGTCTTTGGTAATCCAAGGATTACTGGCTGGATTGGGCTAAGTCCTATTCTGTTTTGTCTATATATCAGGTGACGTAAGACTGTTGTTTATTTGACGTCACGTATATGTATATAAAGCTTTAAATTTTTCGTCTCATGCATGTCTGCACAGCTCTATGGACATTATTTTCTGGAAGTTGCTTCCGCTAGCCCCTTAATTATATGTTATTCTGTACAGAGGTCTTTGGTAATCCAAGGATTACTGGCTGGTTATAACACTAAACTTATAGGGGCGGGTTTGGGTCATGATAAAGACATACCTCTGTTCTGTGCTGTTGTGCTGTTTGAGGTTGTGGAGTGAGAGCATGAGATGAACCTTCGAGTCATATTAGGTCAATTATTTGTTTATTCACCCAAAAGGTTTAGTCAACCCTTAAAAAAAAAGAAAAAAAAAGAAAAAAAAGGGCAAATTCAAAACGACGTGATTTTGACAGATAATTTATTGGTGACTAAAATCATTAGGTCACCATAAATATTGTTCACCTTTCCGCCCCTAATCTCAACTCGTAGCCAATAGTTGTGTTTTTGGTGACCAACAAGTATATTGTCGCCGATTATGTAAAATTGACGACTAATTTCTGTTTAGTTGCCAAAAAACGTCGCCAAAAATACTTTTTTTTGCAGTGAAAAAACCTCACATTGTTGAGGATGGGATATGTCTATCTGATATCTAATATGGGACTTGGAGTGTCACACATGTTGAATTGAATATATGTAGCCTATTTATTTTTACATAAAACTTGAATTTTTTGCCCATTATCAATAATTTCTTAAATTTCATGCATTTTTTTTTTTTTAAATATGTATAATCTGAATGATTCCATGCATTTTATTTGTGATTTCAATTGCCTCATTATTTTCCCAAATTCTTATAAACAAAACACTTGGACTTGCATGTTTTTTTCTCCTTGTTGCAGGTTAAGTCAAAAAACCGTTATTTCTACTGTAACTTATGGTAATGTTGAAATAATGAAGTGGTGGTTAAGGTAGCCATGGACAAAGTTTGAGTTAATATTTGATAATGTCATTGTAAAAGTAGATTAAGTAGTTGTGATATGTCATTGTAAAAGTAGATTATGTAATACGTTTGTGATTGCATTTTTTCTTTTTTTTTCTAATGAGTATATATTTTGTCGAATTATTTTTATCATTAGACACAGAAATAGTGGATTCATTCATATGTTTGACCATCTCCAAAGAAAAGCATACAAAAGTATTATCATTTAAATTGCATTCCTTACAACTTATATAATCTACTCCACAACTATCTATATCATTGAAATATTTTATTGAAACTCTTCACCTCGTACATATCTTCCTATGTCATAGTGGATCTAATCTACAACATAACATATATAAAAAGCGTAGAACTCATCTTTCTAAAGTGCTGAAACCAAGAACAACTAGGTGTGTGAAATTCCCTACTACGTTCTGCTTTCCTGTGTTCTGCATTTTCTGTTGGTGTTTTTGCGAACTGGAACTCCATTCTGCTTTGTATTCTGGACAATCTGGTATGTACATAGCTTATTCCATGCTTATTTGTCTTCCAAGATGCGCCGCCATGTGGTTTCTCTGTTCTTCTTTTTCCTTACTTTAATTCATGTGTAAGTTATGCACACCACTTGTTTGCTAATATGCCTATGAAAATACAAATAGAAAATCCGCAGTTTTTTTCCCTTACTTCTTAAAATATATATATATATATATATTGTATCTCAAAATGCAGAAACTATTCTTAACTCAACAAGAATTTCAGTTTCAATTCAAATGCTAGTGCATGGATATGGATCATAGTATTGATCTATGAAATGTGTGTTTCATTGGAGACAGTATTTCCAGTGCATTGAGTTTAATTTTTTTTTTTTTCTCTAGTCGTTATGGTTTAGATTGATAACATATCAAAAGATTAAGGCTAAATTGACAAAATTGAAGGCTCATGTTTATATTTCGTTATAAGGGTGAAACTCTAGGGTTTTTTTTTTTTTTTTTTTTTTTTTTTTTTTTTTTTGGTTTTTTTCTTTTTCTTTTTTTTGTGTTTTTTCAAAAAAAAAGACAGTTTAAAAAAAAAAAAAAAAAAAAAAAAACAAAAAAAAACAAAAAATTATTGCCATTTTAAGTATGGAGGTCCGTGTAAGAAAATAATGCAATATCCAGGTCTCTATAACTCACAATGCAATATTGAAAACAGCTTAGAATTTACAAATTTTAATATGTTCCTATTTCATTATGCCTGGGTTCCAAATGTTTAGTAGTATTGATGTGTACACCAGAATGTTACAATGGAATGAATGGAGTTTCTATTTTTCTTGTCAAGATTTTATCTTGAAAACATTTTATTATTCATTTTTTCTGTTGAAATTCTAGTAAAGTACTTCAAGAAGCACTTCCATGGGGATTGAAAAGTCATTAAGCATGGCAGAACAAACTTTTAGAAGAGGAGGAAGTAGGAAAGTAGCAAGGGTTTACACTTTGTCGAAAATAAGCATTGACATTTAGGAATGATCTTGTACTTTATTTCCATTTTGAACTGATATTATGCACAAATTAGGTAGCTTAGTTTCTATTCAGGAACGTGTCAATGATGTTCATTTGCGAATTATATGGTTATTTATAGGAATGTCCTTGGTGGATGTCATATTGTAGCCTTGTTTCTCTTTAGACTTTAACATTTGATATATAAATGGTTTCAAAAAGTATGTACGTAGATTTCTTGTGTGTGTTGAAGTGTAATGCTTTGTTGTACCATTGCACAGCCAACATAATGAGTTGGAGGCAAAGTTTTTTTAGGAGAGAGCAGCCCTTGAAGCTAAATACCAGAAGGTTTATGGATCACTATACAATAAGGTATGGAGAATGTGACTCATTAAGTGGTACGACCTATGGATTGTGTAGTTCAGCACTGTTTGCTTTCTTAATGATTTTCCCAAATATGTCATAATTTCTTGTAATCAGAAGAAGCTCAAATTTATGTAAATTACCTATTTTTTTGGTTGACTTGTAATGTGAGGGGACATGTTGCAGAGGTGTGAAATTGTAAATGATGTCGTAGAAGTTGAAGGAGTTACAAGTGAAGCCACAATGGACCTTGAGGATGATAACTCTACAAAAGGTAACACACTTCTTTGGAAATTGCTGAATTCTTCTTCTCTCTTTTGTTGGGAAACTTTTTTTCACACCATTGGATCTCATCATCACAGTTAACGAAAACTTCCATTTCTACTCTCTATTTCCTGCAATCTGTTTCTCTATGAGTCAAATGGTTTTGAAATTATTTGATTTCGGTTATGAAACGGTTTGATTTCTATAGCATCTCTTCTCTTCTCTTCAATGATTGAAGTGGGTTTTCAAATGGTTTCTACTTCTATTTTTTAAAATGGGTTTCTGAAAGATTTCTATTTCTTGAGATGGGTTTATGAAACAGTTTCCACCATCACACCATTTTTTAAATGGTTTGATTTCAGATATTAGGCATGAGCACTATGTGAAAATGATATTAGGCATGAGAACTCTGTTTTTGGGGCTCTAGATATCAATCCTCATGCTTTATAGAAGAATAAGTGATATCAACTCTCAAACCGAATGATTTGGTATGTGATTTTCTGGTTTGCAATTTTTCTTTATTTCTACGTACATATGTTGATATTAGATTTGTATGTTTCTGTATTGTCTTGGTTTTGGCTATTGCATTTACAAAATTTGTACACCATTTGGTTGACAATATGTCCATAAGAGTGAAACAAGTGGTTCCTACATTAATTACTGGCTTTGAATTCATAACTTGCTCTTTCTTTGCTTCCACTTTCGCTCATAACCACCAGGTTTGGAAAAGCAAAAAATTAATGGGTTTCCATAATTCTAATTTTGTTTATTATTTGATGGAGAGAGTACCAAAAGTTGTTATTCCTTATTAAATTTAAAAGATTTCAAAAATTCAAGGCAAAGTCTGAACCAAATCAAGAAATGAAAGAGATCACAAACTCCAAAACCCATTTGAGATTGGTTTTGTTTTATTGTTAGGAGACATGAATCAAGAAAACGAAATAGAGATCAAAAACACCAAAACCCATTTGAGATTGGTTTTGTTTTATTACCCACTTGAGAAAACAGGGATGATCAATTGAAATAAAGATATATGATGTTTAAAAAAAAAATAAAAACAGACAGCGATGTTCCGCAACATCAGAATTCTCTTTATTTTTTTAGAATAATGTAGGAAGATTTGAAGAATAGGAAGTACATTTTGAGTTTGTAGGGCTTGTGTGGTTGCACAAATTGAATTATGGACAAATTACACTAACGATTCCTACAGTTCGGGGCTTGTGTCACTTTAGTCTCTGACCTTTTAATTGTGATACATTTGATTCTAAATTTTGAATCTCGTTCCAAATAAGGACAATTGAAGACATTGTTGCTCAATTTCAAGGGTAAAATCGTCAATTTGATAAAATATAAATTAGTTTGACAAAGAAACATAAATGTCAACAAATTATTTTTAAATTTTTAAAAATTATTTCTACTCATCAAAGATAAAATTATATAAAAATGATAAATCTTTTACATTTTTATTTTTTTTACCAAATTAATTTTTAGTATGTGCTTGGATGATCATCATATAATGGGTGATTGTTTTTGTTGTTAACAGATTTTTTTGATGGTTATCGTGTAGTGGATGGTTATTAGGATTTTAATATATAATCAATATGTTTAATATATGAAATGCTTTTAGTTTTGGATTTTTTTGATTTAATGGATTGGTTTAATAATGACATCAAAATTGTCATGTTTGACTTTTGAAAAAAAAAAATAATTTAACGAAAATAAATTTTAAAAAAAATTATTTCTACCCCCCCCCAAAGATTAAATTATGTAAAAATGATGTGTTTTTAATTTATTTTTTTCACCAATTTAATTTTTAGTTTATTAGAAATTTTTTCTGAAAATAGATTCTGGAAACCAAACTAAACGGAATTTTATAACCAAAAATTCAAAGGTCAGGGATCAAACTATAGGGACGGCTAGTGTAATTCGAGCTAGAATTATTTTTCAATGAACTTAAATTCAAATTTTATGCAAGATTTCAAGAGAACAAGATTTGAATCTTCTAATTGTAGATTTCTTCCTGTAAGAGGAAATTTACACAGGTTTTGAAGGTATACAAATAGACGGCAAAACCATACCAAAAAGAGTAAAGTTGTTTCAAACTCTACTCACGAAAGAGATCTTTGTTGTCTCATGTATGACTCTAAAACCCACTTCACAATTTACATTTATATGTTTTTAATTTTTTTTTTTTTTTTGGTTTGGTTTGATGGATTTGTTAGTTTTAGCGAAAAGAAAGTGTGTAATTTTTCTGAAAATGGCCAATGATTTTGATAAAACTCTTTAAAGTCTAGAACTTTCTATTTTGTTTTTGTTAATTTTGTGCTCTTTAACAACGAATTTAACTTTTATTTTTGTAATTTTTTTTGGGTTTTCAGATTTGGGATTTATCTGTGAAAGCTGAAGGATTTTTTTTCCCCCTTTCTTTCTTCTGGGTAATAGTTTTTTCTTTTTCTTTTTTAATTAGGTTTCTGGGTTTTCAGATTTGGGATTTGATTGTGAGTGCTGAAGTTTTAAATTCTTTTTTTTTTTCTCTCTGGGTGAGGGTTTTTATTTTTCTTTTGATATGGGGTTTGTGAATTTAATTTTTATGAAGATTGTAATAGATACTTAGAAAATTTGGTTCTTCAGGGTGACTTTGAGTGGATTGCTTGTTTATCCTTTTTAACTGAATACAATTCATGATTTTGAGGGAGCTAGTTTGACAAAAGCTTAATGATCAAATTCTATATGCCTCTGATGCAGACTATTACTAAAAAAAAAAAAAAAAAAAAAACATGTGTAAGTGCATAATAGCATTATGTGGATGCTTTGAAGTACATGAAATAACTTGCAGAAAAAAACTTGAAAATGGGTGATCTTGTGCCACGTGCATGTGGCTGGACTCACCCAATATGCATTTCCCACAAACAGATTAGTGTTGCCACAATTCAAAATATCCAGAAGTTGCTGAAGTATTTCTTCTCTATTGCTATGTTACAACCATATCAATGAACTACGGTGTTAGACTTCCCACTTGTGTAGAAACTTTATTCTACCTTAGAATATAAATAAGAGAAAATTTGAATGCCTTTACCAAACATTGCCTCAAATTATGGGACATCTTGACTCAAATCCATACCTGAAAAGCTTGCCAAAGTCCAAAAATAAAATTGGTGGCCAACCCCAAACAACCCAGTCTGCTGCACTATTTTGGAGTATTTAATCCACATAAGCTTAGTTTGAGAGCCCAAGGCCAAGGGCACGATTGGCCCAAAAGAATGAGGGGAGGGGGTATTTCTATCAACAATGATAGAGACCACTAATTTTGGAGCTCTAAAAGATCACTAATGACATGGCACTCAATAAAAAAAGAAAAAAAATACAACACCAAGGCCAAAACATCAAATCATTCATGGTGGAGCCCACTGCCACATCATTAGTGACAGCACTAATTAGTGCTCTCACTCATTTTCCGTGTTTCTATAGAAGGTAGATGAGTAAACACCTCTCTTGCACTCATTGCAAAACAGTCCCAAGGCCCAATGTCAAGAACACTAAGGGTTGGTTTGGCATAAACTAAATAATACAAAAAGTCAAAAAGTCACTATCCTATTTAAGTCACATCATCTTATTTAAATCACATCACTTCTCTAACACATCACATCAAACCCAACCCAAACCCAACCCATATAAGCCAATAAGTCAAAAAATACACTTTTTTAGAACATCCCAAACCAACCCTAAATGTTTATCTTCACATGCTACAAGTGATATTCCACATCAACCAAGCACATACCTTTATATCTATGTAATATTGTTAAATCATCAGAAATTCAATCAATAGAGACAACATTTTCACTTAGGGGGAGCCGGTCAATTCTTGGCTTGGTTGGGGCTAGAGCTGTAGATCAAGCTTTGATGCATGTGAACAAATTCTTATAAGCCCATTAGGAGCCCTTTTAAGCTTGATTCATGTGTATAAATTGGTCAAACTTGAACTTCATTCCAAGATTGAGTAGATAGAGATCGGCTCATAAAAGTTGAATAACATTTTGTTGCCGGCTTAAAGGGCCGCTTTCTTAGCTTTTTAGGCTATAAAGGCCTGCTTTTGGGGCTTTTTAAGCCTAAAATACCCAAAAAAATAAATAAAAAACATATGGCTTTTAAATAGGTGACAAATAGGGAAGAAGGAAATCCAAATTTTTGTAATTCAAACTCAAATATTTTTACCTCACACTGGACAACATATTTTTTTTAAGCTTAAAAAATAGCATCCAAAAACACAGCTTCATAAAAGTTAAGTTTGGCTTTTGAGCCTATTTTGAAGGTGAAAAGGCAAACAAGCTAAGAACCTAAAATATTGTACTTTTACCAAACAACAAACCTTGCCAAAGTACAACAACTTAAGCATGTGAATTATAAATTAAAAATAAAAAATAAAATTTGAAATCCTCAATCATTTTTAACATATGGAACCAAAAATCTACTAGAGCTACACCATCTTGAAATCATCATCGAAGTAAGATAACAACTTGCCATGGCCAACCATTGCCTTGAGCCATCATGGCAATTTTGAAAGTATTGCTTGACGTATCAAGTAGGGCAAGCCTACTGAGAAGCTTGAGCAGGTCATTGCAAAATTAATTCAAGCTTGAGCTAATCTTATAGTAGCCATCTTTATGTGAGTTAAGTTTTAATTATTATGATCAAAATTAATTCCCAAATAAACCCATATATAAATGAAGGATTTGTTATGTATTTGTAGATGAAATTATTTGTTATGTATTTATAGATGAAACTTTATTTTTTGATGATACACCCAGTATGACTGCAAAAAATAAATAAATAAATAAAATATGTATTTATATATGTTTCCATACATGTTATTTAATAGTTGGGCATCAAATGATTGGCCAAACACATGAAGACGTTTTATCTGTGCATGTCCATAAAATTGATTCTATTTTAGGGCGGGGCATGAAGCTACATCTCTTTAAAGTTTCCATTGTTCTCAATGTTTCAAATAAGTTGTGTGCCTTCATGGGGACTAATCTACTTTGTGAAGAACTTGTCTTCACATTGATTGTGTATTTTGCAACATTTTTATGTTTGTTTGTTGCTTTTGGTAAGTGATCTTTACAGATCAGTCAAATCAAATCAAAGCCTTGGAGATAAATTTGGCTGCAGGAATGATGCCAGAGAAGTAAAATAGAAACAGGTAATCTCAAACATCATACATAACTACAAATTTGTTTTTCCATAACTGACCATTGTATTTAGTCTGTACTCGAGAAATATTGTCTAGGATTATGTTATTTTAAGAAACTGCCAAACTCATTTTGAGGTAGTGTTTGTAGGGCTATATAATTTCATTTTGAATATTTAACCTTTCGTAGTGATTAATGACAATGTAGGTATAAAGGGCTTCACCCTGAGACACCTCAAATGAGTCAAGAATTGAAAAATTTAGCACAAAGTCAGGTCTACAAGAGGAAAAAGAATAGACGGGAAAATTCCGTATTTTCTAATATCTAAACTAAGATATTCTTGTCATTTTAATATTTGAAAATTTCATTCCAAGTTTTTGTCAGTTAACAGACCCCTGTTTTTAAGGCTGTGTTTGGCCATGCTAAGGGTTCTTTCATCAGGTCCTCCCAACATATTATTCCAATCCTTATATACTCCTTAAGCAGAAGCCTATTACCCAGATAAAGAGCAGGGTAACAAAATGTATGTCCCAGTTGAATGGGCTGAATTAAGCATCGAGCCCAAGCCCCCAATCTGACATCGGTTGCTTTTAGGGCTGGCGTGTCTAGCTTATTTATACAATAACAGCTCCCCTCTTTTTTTTTTAAGAAAAGCCCAATACTGTTTATACTTATACCCATCTGTTCCTGTGATTTGTTAGAGCTAAGTTTGTTTAGGAAGATGTTTTGGACCAAAATAGACATACAAGATAAAATAGGTTATTTTAGCCAAATAGGATAAAATGTCACATCGAACCCATAATCATTTCATTTTTTCTTTCATAAAAGTCAAAAAAGCCAAAAAAAACCTATCCCAAACATAGCTTTTTAGCCCCAAGTTAAAAAAGTTAAAAAGACAATCCACATCCTAAACAAGCTATTAGAGTTAAGAGTAGGGTTGGGCGGGTTGAGAGTTTACCTGGGTTGAGAGTTTACCTAGGCTTCGAGTTGTGCGGAAAATTGTCTAACCCTCCCAACACCAAATAATTTCTTGTTTTTACATGTGTTTGATAAATATAGATAATTATACTCTTACATATTAGAAAAGATCCTACTTAGTGCACAAATCTGTTGGTTATGCTTTACATGTATTGTTTTATGAGATTATGAATATTCACTTGAAACCAAAGTTCTTTTCACTTTTTGTGGCCCTCTTCATCTTTTGATGAGTTCCATTTGTTGTTGTAATCTCTGTGCTCATAAAATTATTTGGAATGAAGGATAGGTTCATTTTGCATGAGTACTGTTATACAAATATACTTTTTATGGAAAATGTTTGAGTCTTCTAATAAAATCTTCACAATTTTATCCACAATGATGTGAAATGATGTGTGTTAACTTTTAATTTGTTACATTTAATCATGTGGGGCTCTACTTCCATGCCACATCATTGTGGATATATTTAGGAGTCTCAAATGTGAGTTTCTAGCATTACTTTTTTTATTATTTTTATTTAAAATCCTCTAATCGATGTACAAACACCTACAAACCCAGAGAGAAAGAGTTGTATGAGAGAGTGTGAGAGAGGAGGTGAAAGTTGGGTGTTAGGGCAATGAGCAAGAGAGTTTGAGAATGATCCAAACTTTGAGTAAAAAATTTGGTTAAAATATTAAAATTTCATTAAAAATAAAAAAATATATGAAAAAGAAAATATTCAATTTCTAGAAAAATTAAATTTTGAAAATTGAAACCAAACAAGGGGATGGTAGATTTTTTTTAGATGGGCATCAAATGGCTACTTATTAATATGTCAATCCAACATTTAAGCTGAAAGTTGACTTAGTATAAAAAAATAAAAAATAAAAATAAAGACATTTGTACTATTGCAACAACATTGTTATTATTTGGCATTTTAGCACTGTAGAATGCCAATTATAAATTTGGCATGTCAATTATCGGTGGAGGTGTTCATATGAAGTGGAAAAAGTTAATATTTTTGCAATAGATTTTTTAATTGAATATATAGATGTGAGAGAAAAATTAATTGATTGAATTTGTTTTCATGGTGAAACCCAACCAAAATCATATTTTCTTGAGTTTTATAAAAAGAGCATTCTCATGGATAGAAAAAGGAGTGAGATCAAAACCCATTTCTTTAAAACTTTCTCTACATTTGGAGCAAAATCAAAATCAACACAATAACTTCAAGAAAACTTTTGAATCATCATTAATATAGCAAAACATGTATATATAACTCAAGAAATCCCTACCTTAAGATTTTGGAGGAGATGGAGAGAAGAAACCCTAGAACCAAAAAATGAGAGACCTTTGACTTCCACCACCCAAATGAAGCTCTAGCTCTTGATCTTCAAGATTAGTGAGAGATGATGATGATCTAGACCCAAAGGATTGTAAGAATCAAAGAGTTTAAGTGTTTTATGAGGGTTTTCTAGAGAGAAGGGAGAGCAAAAATGACCTTTAGAGTGAGAGAAAGAAGCCCCAAAATGAGATACAACTCGGCCAAAAGAAATTAAAAAGACAGAATTTCGGACTCAGGCCGACCGCACGTGCGGCACCTGCCCCCGCACGTGCAGAGCGTGCATCCCACACGCGCGACACTGATCCCCGCACGTGCGGCTGCCCCCGCACTTCCCCTTCCGCACCTGCAATTTAAGCAGTGTGCTATGCCAAACAACCCCTGAATTCAGCACGTGTGGCCTCACTCCCCGCACGTGCGACCCAAGGCCCCACACGTGCGGCCCTTGGTTTCCAGCCTAGAATTTTCCCCCTTCGATTCTAGGCATTTTGGATCGGACCTCACATCCTCCGAGACAAAAGGAAATCAACACCAAAGAGGCAAGAACAAGAATTTGAGACAAACTTCTGAGCACGACAACAACTCGAATGATTTAACAAGACTTCATGTGAGACTCGACACACTAACGTGACAAATTCGAGATTAAACAAGGGAAAAGAGACGGATGGCATGCTAGGTCGTCACACCATCAGATTCAAAAATGGTTCTTGGCCTACGGTGGATGTTGCGACATCTTAGATTTGTACAATAAAGCTCACGTCAAGATTCATCAAGCAATGGTAAAAAATAAAAGAGTAATCTACTCTTCTCAAAACATATCCACGCCCTCAGCTCGGCGGGATTACTACATCTTTACCTGCACCAAATCCCATAGGGGTGAGCATAAAGCCCAGTAGAGAATTTCTTACAAAGTATATACAGTTATGCAAACTCTCAATGTAAAATGCAAATGTCCATGCCATGCAATGCCATTATAAGGAGAGTTTCATGTCATGTTCTTGTTGATAGCCAACTTGTTTCAATGAAAGTTTGCGATCTCAACAATTTCCAAAGAAAACTTTCCATTTTAATTTAATAGGGGCGGTAAATACGAGTCAGGTAATCCCTAGGTTGGTGTCTGCAAGTAGGCTCAACAAGCACTACCAATACCTCACTTTACCGGTTGCTAACTGGAAGGGAAGTGGTACCTCCTCCGTGCGTGTTTTTGGTCTTTCACCCCAGACACTCAGGCCAACTTATCAAACTCATCTACACCCCTATCCGGACTTACCAACGTATTTACCCCACAACACATTTCCATAATTCTTATTACAATGCCTTTTTCTTTCATGAAGTAAACATCTTCAATCTAAATTCACAATGCATAATAATAAATTGAATGAGTATGCAATGCAATGATTTTCCATACCTCATAGGATTTCTCCATTTTCAAATATTTGTTCATTGAAAGCAACCTAGAAGACCATCATTTTCTTGATGAGTCCTTCCTTTTGGAGTTGCTTCCTCAATTATTTATAGCGTGTTGAATGGGTTGTTTACTTCAATTAACGCAATTCTTAAAAATCATTTCCATGAGCTTGACTTTTTTATTCAATTTGGCCCTAAGGGCTTCGTCTTCAGTTTTGGGTGAGAAATTAGTGGTGGTTAAGAGTTTTAATCCAAACTAATATCCTTTAAAATGTCCAAATTGGAAGAGGAAATTATAATTTGCTACACCAGTAAATATATGTGGTGTCTCTACTTATATTTTATTAGTTAAAAGAGTGACATTTACCACTTTTATGTTCTTTTTAGGAGAAAATATTCCACTAGTTTTGAAATAAGTGGTACAAAGCAAAACTAAATTGGTTCATAATTTTTCTTTTAAAAAACAATGAAAGTCTCATAACCAAAGTCACTTCAATTCAAAACAAAACAAGACAAAGTCTCATAACCAAATTTGTTTCGATTTATTACTAAACATTGCAAAATCTTATAATCAAATAGTAATTCTAGCTGGAATTATTAAATTGTTTTTAATTCAATAGGCCAATGCAATAAATAAATAAATAAATGGGATTTAATCAGTAAATAACCAAATGATTATATCTAATTGTCCCTAACAATTAGACCTAATTATTAGGTCAAGCTTTAAAAAAAAAATTTCTAAATTTCATATTCAATATAAATTTTCTTTGAAATATCTCAAAAAAGCAATCCAAAAATAATTTGTTTGGTTCCGTCTTTAAAATGTGTTCAATGAAAAATTAAAGCTACTGAAAATTTATTTTGGTGAAAAAATAATGAAAAATCCAAAAATACTTAACATTTTCATATTGTTCTCTTTTTTACACACACTCACCAAAAAAATAAAAATAAATAACAGTTTTAAAATTCGAAAAAATCTTTTTGGTATTTATTTTCACCAAACTAGTTTTTTAATATATTTTCAAAAAATAGATTATGAAAACAAAACCAATAAAGTGATAGATTTTATTAAAACATATTTGTAGAGCTAAAGTTATAACATTTTAAAATTTAAGCAAAAAAAAAAAAAAATTAAAGATGCGAATCAATAATAAAAAAATATTGTGACTATGTCTTTCTCACAAATAAAGATTCAAATCTAATGTCTTATACATGCACATATGTGAATTTTTTGGCAATTATTTCTATTTTCTTCGCTCGTATCCTTTTATCTTTTCTCTTTCATTCTTGTCCCCATTTTTTTTTTTGGGACAAATTACATATACCCCTTTGAGGTTTAGCAAAATTACAGATACCCTCCTGAGGTTTGACAAATTATAGATACCTCCTTGAAGGTACTATTTGCATAATAAATTAGGGGGCAAATTATTATGAAAATATAAACCTCAGGGAGCAATTTGTTATGAAAATATAAACCTCAGGGGGGTATCAGTAATTTTCGAAATCTCAGGGGGTATTTGTAATTTAGCTAAACCTCGAGGGAAGTATATGTAATTTGCCCCTTTTTTTTTTTGGTGTGTGCAAGAAATGAAACGAGATTTAAATATGTATAGAATACCCAAAATAAATAAATAAATATGTGAAATCCATATCTGTAGACACCCCATTTTTGACCGACCTTAAGACTCAGACGTCACCAGTTGAGCGCTCGGTGATGTTGCATTTTGTGCTCATTCTGAGGTTTCAGAGTCTCGGCTGTGAGCCTTGCCTCCAGACTTCGGGGCTCTTTTGTGCTTTGTCTCGGTTTGCGAACCGAGTCATGTTTCCTCCGTTTTCTCTTCCCGAAGGGAGGGAGAGGTCTCGTAGACCATATCTCAGTGGCCGTGGGCTACGTTTCATGGTCGTAGGCCATTTTTCCCGTTTGGAGCCCGATTTCCGGTTTTCGGAGCCGTCGGTCGTGTGCCTCGGTTCGGGACCGCTTAACTATCTCCGTTTGCTTCGGTTTTTGGCACACACCTTATTTCTTCCCTTTAGAGGGACACTGTGGCCCGGGAGATCACCTTCGTGGTCATATGCCACTTCCGGTGCCTAACAGCCTGTTTTCGGGGCCCCGAACCGCGCGTTTTGGCCCCCGAACCTTCGTTTTGCATCCGTTTTGGTCCGTTTTTGGTGGAGACCCTATTTTCATTGTTAGGAAGGGAGTAGGATGGTGGCCGGCCACCTTTTTCCCTGAAAAGCTAGTTTTATCTTTTTCTCTCTCCAAAAGTCGATTTTTCTAATAAAAAGCTGGTTTTTCTCACTTTTGAGTCACATTTTCTGGCTTTTCATACCACCATTGTGTTGTGCTCATCTGGGAGGCCACCAATATGGATAGGCCGGCCAGAAATTCATCTTGACCCTTTTGAACCTTGCTTAAAAGCTAGTTTTTCTCTCTCTTGGGTCACTTTTTCTGGTTTTTCTATACACAGCTGTATTCTACTCATCTGGGAGGCCACCTTTCTGGGTAGGCCGACCAGCAATTTTGCTTGAACCTTTTGACCCCTAGTTGGCCGACCAGGGGGAGTGGTCAGCCGGCCACTTGAACTGGCCGGCCTACTTCTTGCTTTTGCTTTTTCTAAGTGTAATCCAGCTGTGCCAGCTGGAGGCCATTTGGTGCATCTTCCATACACGTGTATGGAGGATGCTTGGGGTCTCTTGGAGATATTTTGAAGCTTCTCCTCTATAAAGGAGAGGCTTGGCTTCTTGATTAAGTGTTAGACATTTTTGCTTAAGGCTCATAACCTCCCTCCTCCATTGTCACTACTCAAAGCTCCAAAACCCTCACTTTCTTGGTCCATTTGCACTACAACCCTTAGCACCACACCTCCATCATCCATTCCAGTACCTTCGAAGTCATTTGCAGAGGTTGAAAGCTCACCAACTTGGTCCAAAAGCTGCTGGAGGTCGGCTCTTCAAGGGTAAGTGTCCATTTCCCTTAAATTTGTATTTTTTTGCATGATTGGTTAGCCTT